ACCCCATAATCGGCCCGAATAACACTATGTTTTGTCCTTACAATAGTGGAGAAAACCTTCCCTGATTCATTTTTATACCTAAATTTCACATTTCATAACTCCTGCTAGAAGCAACTTGGGCCCGAACTAACTTAGGGTATATCACTCCTAGCTATGCCCGATCTAACCATCATATCCCCGACTGAAAAGCTTTTTGACACCTCGGGTGGTTCCCTCGTCAGACAAAAAAGTTTCTTTTTTCATCACCTGATAGACTGTATTTTGACACTTCGAAAAAAAATCATTTGTCGGTACACGATGAAATCATTTTCTTATGTCATCAATTAATGAATCATTGTTTTTAACTTTATGCCATTGTATATTGTTGTAATTACAACACATATTGATTGATCTAAAATCAGTCACCGATTATGGCCTTTAATACAATTTATTAAACAAAACAATAAGAAAAGAAATGGATTATGTACCATAAAAATGATCCTATTCGTAGCCTCAAAAATTAGTCGCACAGAATTTCGTTCATTTTGAAAAAAAAAGTACAACTGTAAAATAAGATATACTTTGTAAATTATAGAAATTTTCACACTGTATCTAATGATGTATTTTTTTTTAATACAGCGTATTGGATGATAAAAATATGAATTGGTAAAAGGAATTTTTTTTGTGTGAGGGAGATTACATTTCACCTTTTCAAGATTTTTCAAAGTATTTGTAAGAGGATAAAAATGTTGAAAAACTGATATGGATAAAGCCTAGAGCAAATTCAATTTAGAATGCATGACAGAAAATTGTAGTGGTGAGTTTATTCATCCTAAAAGATATTGTTTTATTATGCATGCATACTTTACATATGATACTATGCCCATGTTTTCATACACTTACGAATAATTCTGAATGAAAATTAAATCAGTCTTCACTAAAATATATTAATTGGTTTTTTTATGTATTATTTGCCATATACTATTCAGGAATATTCAGTTGTCGTTGGTTTGAATGCTTCTCCTAGCTTTGCTTATTGCAGAGTTTTATCTGCTCTGTTTTGGTCAGTCAATGAACAATGCTACAATGGGAACGCATGTAGAAACCATCTATCTTGACCGCTCCAAAAGCCTCTCTGTTGGTACCAGCCGTGGACCGCAGTTCTATTTCAAATATCAAACCGATAGAGTGTTTATGTTAAAACTTGCTACCACGACATTTATCAAAATTCCTGGTTTATCGCTTGTTTTCCATCACGTTCGACCTCGTTTGTACAAAATTTATTTCCAAGGTATGGTCTATACCAATGTTCTGAATACACGAACATGGATACGTATGATGATTGATGATCAAGTTCTTATTGGAAACAAGCTCTATACCAATAACGATCAACGCTTTACCATAGACCCAACAATTGGTAGTGATGCGATGGCAATAGATTGGCGAGCTGGTATATATGTCTATAGTTTGTCGTCTATTATTGTAGTACCTTGTGTGAAGAGAGAGGTTGTGTATGTACCAGCGGGTACGCACTCTATTGACATCGGAATTCGAACAGAGCAAGAATCAGGCGTTCATGGTGCTGAACTTTCAGTAGAAATGATCGAACTCGATGAAGAGTCACAAACAAATTTACCTCTGCTCACTTCGTTCAATGGATAACGATGCGATTCTGACGGAACTCTATTAAAAATAACTTTCATCTTTTCATATTTCACAAAGATTTGTAACGAATCAACTCTATCCGAAATAAAATTCACCATAATATAAGGTCGATTAAAGAAATGGACCTTCTACAATCTTATTCCAACTTTCGCACATGTACACATTATTGTGCGTAAAAATCATGCTACCAAGTGTACTGGTGCGCATGATACATTCTTCACACGAAAACAACTTCGGTCTTTTCGATGAGATTCGATCAATCAGATGCGATGTGATAGAGGGTGTAGTGTGGATGTAGAAGATTCAGGTGACAGACGGACACTCGTACTCTGATATTTGATCTTGCTGAAAGATTTGAGCTAGTATTGGCATAATAGGCAATTGTCATTTATCAATTTGATTCAGTGATCATGGCAATCACTAAAAGTATATTCATTTACAATTTTCATCTTCATAAAAATAATATTCATCGACTATTAAATAAAATCTCCAGTCAAACTTCGATTACCTATTCTGTGCCATGGCATAATTAAAGTAGTGAAGACTATTGATTAAAATCTGAGATCATCGTTAAATGTTGAATCGAGATATATGATCAAGATTTGAGGTTAATTAAGTTAAATTTACCATATATTTGAGAATAATTAGATTTTTTATCGTCAATAAAGAATTCAATATGATGTTTTAATATTGTAAATATAATTAATCGAATATGATGTTGAGTTAAAATAGAATTCGAACATAATCGATATATATATTCAATAATAGATAAGTATTCATTTAAAGAGCTTTTTTTAGAAAATAACTTTTTTTCCATAGAAAAATAAAAAAGATACTTTTTATCATTTTATCATATCTACTCTTATTTAAATATTTAATATAAAAAATGAGAATAATACAAAATGTTTGACAAATCGATGAGTGCTTTCCTGTTTTAATCATGTCTATTTTCGTATGCTTTTGTTTATGTAAATTTTTTATTTTCATAAGATCCACTTATTTCTGTGGCAATGATATATCTTTTTTTAAGTGAGGCTGTGGTTGAGTGAGTGTATCATTCTAGATAGTTCTCAAATTATTTAATAAAAATTCAAAGAACAATTATCAGACATTTTTTGTACAGTAATTGTCCCTTGACTATCAATTATTAACCAGTAATAAAAACCAGTGGTTTTATATGAAATACATGACTAATAAACTAACTATGGTTAATAAAATGTGTCTAACTATAAAAAAATTTGTTTCAAGATGATGATTTTTCCACTAGAATGACATTCATTATGAAAGTCTTTCATTCCTCAATAGAATATACATGTAGTACCCTACAAAAAAGCAAGATTCTTTGATCAAACAAATCATATTGATATATAACAGGACAATATATACATATTATTACATGCCACTAAGATTTAAAGATAGATTAAACATTGAACTGAGACTCCACTCATCACCATTTTTAACTTGCGAATATATTGTTTTGACAATCGTTTGATTTTGACATAACGAGATGAATCGTTATATTTAGTAGATTCTCGAAGGTAATATTGTTGATATTGCTGGTGATACTTCTCATTTTGAACATGGATGTCGGTGACGAGAAAATTGATAAGTGACGCATATCTCATTAAACTAATAACAACAAGGAAAATGATAGAACAAATCGCATTTGGTTTTTTTCTGGAGAACATAAAACATTATCATTGAAGTGAGAGACATAATAAGATAATTATTGTATCTTATCCATATATGCTCTACAAAATGTACAATTTGCTTTATTGCCTACATATTATTGAAAAGCATCAGAATCTATTGTGTTTTAAACATTAAAATTCTCAAAAAGAAACAGTTATTTTGAAAGTTGTCATCTCATCTATAGAGTGGTATTTGGAAAAGTTGTCTTTAGATTTTGAATGTTTTGAGTTATAACTTATTGCAACCCATGATTTTTTGTAGAATATGGAATTGTCTACAAAACACGAAAGTAAAAACTATCCCAAACTACCCTTTCGAGAGATTGTACATCATAGAAAAAAGTTTATTTTGCGTAGCACAAACGACATTTTTTTTTATTCAGATATTTGTTTACAGCTAACTAGCCATGAGTCAGGATCAAGCTCTCAAGATATATTTAAAAAGAGCATCACATTCTGGTTCTACCTAACTAGTTTCGATCCTTTTCGACTACATTTAAAAGTTTAAAAAACGAGTGAACATAGTTACTAAGACGTTTGAAACGAGTGATTTGTACGAACGTCATATTTAGTCTCTATCTAAAGATTTCTTCTCACTGAATCAACTTTAACTTAGAAAAAAAGTTCCGAATATATACTTAGAAAGAGCATGAAATTCACATTCTAGCTACCTACTTTTGACTATCTTCTGCAACTTATAAGCGGACAAAAACTGAGCATTATTGTTATGCCAAGACTTTATACACGCAGGTTACGCATAAACGCATTCGATTCACCAACAGCTACATCCTCATTACGTAAAATCAAGTTAGTACCTATCAACCTTTGTCAATGCCATCACCGTAAGCATAAAATATCCGTTTGAACAGCTGACGGTACGATGACATAGAAAATTCAGATGGCTGTAACAAAGCTTAGATCAGTACTCGAAGTAAACGAGAACGAACCTAAACTTCGATTATATTGACGATCTGTTGGTCATGTGTGTGGTATGTGTCCGATAAAGTAATAAAGATGTTACTATAGATATTATAGAATTCATGTACCTCTGAATAATGTTTCTACGAAGTAGTTACACGAGCTGCTGTCTCTGCAAAAAAACATCTAAGCAAATGATTACAATCGATTGCAAGTCAACTTACAAGTAAAATCACGACCTCTATCACTAGTCTATCAGTCGTAAATCTTTATGAATGTCGAACCATGATGAAACAAAATCAGTTAATAGAGAAAGCAATGAATCTATGATAAAAATAGTTTGGTTACATTTATGCGTAAACCAACCAATGATATTTATCGGCTTTTTATCGACTGTTTGGTATTGTCCAGATCTCAGATTCCGATTAACCAGTATCAACCACCTATGCTCACATGTGTTCGCCGTCGTTAGCGAGGAATTGCAAAAACTTGAACATGTTTGGATAAGTTTTTCTATTTGATAAGAAATTCCAAAATATAGTAAAATTTTTGTCTACATCTTTAAGTTTCTTTTAAGCTGACGCATCTCGTTGTGTTTCTAAGAGTTGTTCGAATGTTGAAGAAAAAAAAAGAACGACAAAAACTATTTATAATTCCTCGTTCTCTTTCGTCGTAGCAAAAAAAAATAAAGATGAAATCATGATATTTCACAATTTACTTCTTTTTCTACGTGGCACACATTCAACATGGATGCACAAAAGTGAGTAATATGAAACTTTGAATGAGACTCGTCACATAAGAAACTTAAAGATCCCATGTTCTATATTTTACACTTGATTAATGCTAATATTTAAAAAATATATATGAACCAACTTTTTCAACTATTATTTATCAAGTTAATAGAAATGAGGATAGAGCAATCATTTGATAATTGCTTCCTTTAGAGTCTTTTGAATGACTTAAAACTTGTTTAGAACTGTGATGGACCCGGAACCTGATGGTTGGGATAACAAAGTACCATGTTGCCTCAAAAACATCAATATCGGTCGTGCTCGTCAGATCATTCACAAAAATTTGAAGCACTATTTGAATTTGCCAAATTTGGATACACTCTTAGAAAATTTAAACGACAACGAGTATTCTTTTGAATGTACACGTGATGAAGTAAATTCGATAAGAGATAATCTTCATTTAATTTTAACGTCGGACTATACGAATGTCTGGTTTATGATCAATACCCGTCCACTACATAAGTTGCATGAACGATTATTGTCTGATAAAAAAATAAATCAGCATCAACCAGCAAGAGTATTGTTCAGTTTCGGTTCTATGCATTCAAAAAGTCTGTTTTATGATCATACAAAACAATTTCGTCATACAGGTACTATTAAAGTTTGGCAGGAAGGATATCGTGCAGTTTCGTTGATAATTTCAATCCGTACATTAAATAGAAGAATTATTATTCCGCTCCAATATATTCAAAAAACAATATTAGTGAATAGGGGGCCATGATAATCAACCGATACAAATAATTCTCATGTTGAATTGTGCCGTGAAAATGGAGGAAACTCATGTTGATAACAAATCGTCTAGCAGGTTAGTGATCTCCTTACTTTTCAAGCAAATACATATGATTTAAAATATATGAGAAAAGAGATGAATATTTACAGTAGTGAAACTTATCAGGTAGTATTTATTTTGTAGTCTGTCCATGTAAGCTACGACCGTCGTCCAGAAGATGTGCTCCATGGTGGTTTTTCGAGCTTGATAAGATCATTATATGTTATAAAGGAAATAGTTTTATGAATTTCAGTGCAAGCTGTTTATTAAATATTGAAGTATCAATTTTCAATTATTTTTTTTGCATGAAATATCCTTAAAAATCACTACTTTTGAAAAAAAAACTCACTTTTCACACCATGTATTTCATGAATACGTGAACCAATACAACTGAATTCTTTTTGCAGATATACATCAAGATAAATCCTTCTTAAAGAAGAATATTATCTGAAAGAGATCGAATCATTGATATTCTACAGATTTCATTTATGGAAACGAAAAAGTTTATTTTAGGCAACTTGGGTATCTTTCATCTCACGACATGAGAGAGAGAGAGATAGAAGAATGAGATTTTGAAGGAGAACAGAGCTCTCATGGGTATATCGCTGAAAGAGTAGGATGGATGGATGTAGATCTTCTCTTCAAGAACACTCACAACCACACCCGAAACTAGAATAATATTGAACATATTGTGTGTCCAAGTTGGATTTGAACTGTGAGTGTGAATATAAGTACAGAGAAAAATTCATGAAAAACTTTCTCCAACTATCAAAATAAATGATACGCCAAATTCTCTTTTTCATTCGTACCTTGGACGAAACTGAATTGTTTTGTTGAAATTTTCGATATTTTTTTCTTTCGATTTTCTTCTTTTTGATCTTTCTATCGTACACTTATCCGAATATTTAGTTTAAGTAATTTTGTGTAAAATTATAGGTTCAATACTATATTGTTGTAATCTTTCGGTCAACATTATATTGATTCCATTCAAAAGTTGAATAAATAGATCAAAGAAGTATTCCTGAATGCTTAAAATGGCGGATCCTACAAAGTGAATGCTTCACAACTTTCTTTGGCTTTTCTTCACAGATATAGAGACTCATAGCTATGCTAGTGAAGTGATGATTATGTACACTATTGTATGTACAGCTTTTGATCACTCATTGTTTAATTCTTTCTTGGTTGCTTTGACGCTTTTATCTCGCATCAATTGTGAGTATTACCTTCCATTGTTATTTCCATATTCAACTGAAATCTTTGAAACTAACGAACAAAAATATAAACTTACGGCCAATCTTTCATATGAATTAAGATTTTCATTGTAGAGTTGGAAATGATGGCATACCGAATTCATTTACAGATGTTGTATCGAAAAGCAGCGATTTATTGCTTCAGTTTGATCCACCTGCTAATGCATGGTTATTTTTATTATCGCTGCCAGTTATCGGTCATACAAATAGCAATAAACGGCAAGATGGGAATTTTCAAATTGCTTTTGCTTTGTTTACATCAATGGTCTGGCCTGTTGATGATCACATTGTGAAATACTGTGGCACTTCATTTAAAAGTCACTATTCAGTTGAAATGTTAAAATCACTTGGTTATGTCTTCACTGATAAATATTTGAAATCAAAAATTATTCAAAATTCATTTCTAACAATTGAAAAGCGTTCAATAGATGAATTCTATGATTATTGTTGTTTAATTCGAAGATCTTTACGAGAAAATCATTGCTTTCATCTTGATGATCTCATTATGTCAAATATTATGAATAAAAATGAAGCAAGTAGTACACTAATCGATATGAAACCTTCGAATGATTGTTTTTTTCTCATTCAATCGATCATTCTTACTCCGATGCGCATTATTCTCAATCCGCTTAATAAAGAAATTGGTAATCGAGCATTACGTTTACGAGGCGTGAAAAATTATATACGAGTCTATATTCGAGATGAAAATGAGGAAATGTTAGATAAACTTGATTCATACGTTCGATTACGCGTCAAACAAAAAATGTTAACCGATGGTTTATTATGTATGAATCGAATCTATTATTGTGTTGGTTCCTCAACAAGTCAACGAAAAAACTTTTCTTATTGGTTCACTACACTGTATGATGGAGAAACAATTGATCAAGTTCGAGCACAGTTTGGTGATTTTACTGCAATTAAAAACTTAGCGACTTATGTCGCCAGAGTTGGTCAATACTTCTCGACATCATCGCCAACTGGTGTGAGTAGCATACAAACAAAAATAGATCAATCACGTGACATTCTATATGTTTTTTTAAATTTCAGATACGCTTAAATTATATCGATACAAAGGCAGTTAGAATCAGAATACCAGAATCTGGGCAGTCTGAACTGATTTCATCATCTGATGGATTCTTGATGCGAATTCTTTCGTGGATAAAACCAACTGTGAATAATTTGCTTAAGACCGTATAAAATAAAAACTATTTTTCTTCTTCTCATTTAGACAATGAAAAATGAACTTCAACAGAAATATACTGTGTTCATTATTAGAGATATAAAAGAAAATAATTATTGTTTTACTGATGGATGCGGTTTTATATCATTGGGCTTAGCTCAAGAAGTTTCAGAAAAAATCGGTCTATCAGTTAAACAGCTGGTATTAAAACCTTTAAACAAAAAATCGTATCATATAGACAAGTATTTTCTGTTTAGAGTGACATACCGTCAGCATTTCAAATACGCATGGGTGGATGTAAGGGAATGTTAGCGATTGACCCAGAATCTAACGATAATGATTATTATATCAAAGTTCGAGACAGTATGATGAAGTTTTCTAGTAACGATTGGACATTGGACATATGCGATTATTCTCGACCAAGTATGATTAATATTAGTTATTACTTGGGCATACAGAGTATGCTTTTTCCTTCTTTATTTTAGTGTTCTTAAGTTTAAACAATCAAATTATACGTCTTTTGAGTGATCTAGGAAATGAAATTGCCGTGTTTGAATCACTTCAATATCGAATGTCAAAACCAGCTCTATGGCATGCACCTGAGAATGCTTGTTTAAACGTATTTGACTCGGAATTAGCGCATCATCAGCAATCACGTTATCTGAACGCGTAAGACTAACTCTTTAATTGAGCTCACGAGGAAAGGTCATCAGTTGTTCAATCGCTTCTACGTTGAGTCTTTGTGCACTATGTAGATTTAAATGAGCTATGAATATGCTGAAAAGATATTCGACGGTTACCTTATTGCTTTGAAGATACAGTAATTTTACAATATTTTTTAAATAAATGTCGTGTTCCCCCTCAGGAACACTAGAAAAACTGATTTTCGAATTTCGACTTGAAACTTTGCATACAAGCGGAACTTTATGAGAATAGGTTTTTTATGAATATTGCAGGTCTTTTTTATTTATTTCTATCCTGAAATGAGAGTGTCGAATTCGCTGGTTTCTTTGAGTGATATAAAAAAACACGTTATTACCATTGTTTTATGTGCGAATAGCAACAGTGGCAAGATCTGAAACATTCACAAAAATCTATTCTCTTCAAGATCTCTTTGTATGTAAACTTTCAAGCCAAAATCAATCATAAGGCTTTCTGGTGTTCCTATGGATAACTACGGGCATTTATATAAAAGTTACCGCAAACTTGCAGTATGTCCGAAGTAATAAGCTAACGACCTAACATCTTGTCAGCATAATCATAGCTCGTTTGAATTTATGTAATGCACATTGTCTAAACGCATAAACGATCGAACAGTTGGTGTCCTTTCGTCGTTAGTTAAAACTGTTTGGTTCCTTCAACTTGTATAGGAAAGAAACTTTGTTGCGGAATAAAATTCCATTGCCAGTCAATGAGGCACGTAATATGTTTGGTGTTGCTGATGTTACTGGCACATTAAGATATGGTCAATGTTTTATACAATACGAAATGAAAACAAAAGAAAAGAAAAAAATATATAAAGTTGTTAAAGGTAAATGATTTTTGTTTTTCGATCAACACTATCTATTTAATTTATTTTCAGGGACAGTGCTGGTAACGAAGAACCTATGTTTGTATCCGGGTGATATTCGGAAACTTGAAGCTGTTGACATTCCAGTGTTGAGACATTGTATGTGTGACTGCATTGTCTTTCCTACTACAGGATTTCGTCCTCATAGTGACGAAATAAGTGGATCTGATCTTGATGGCGACCAGTATTGGGTTTATTGGGGCAATGAATTAAAAATTCAGAATCCTGTTGACCCATTATCTCATTTATCGGCAGAAAAATCGGTAGTTCCAAACCTTACAAATGAAATGGTGATTAATTACTTCCTAGATGCGATCGAACTAAATTGTTACTCCCTTATTGCCGATGTGCATACCGTGATTGCTGATCAAATGGAAGAAGGTACACGGTCACGAGAGTGTGTTGAATTAGCAAAATTATTTTATCGTGCAATTGATTCATCCAAAACAGGAGAAGTGATCACCATGGAATTGGTTTTAAGATTAAGAGATAAGTTTTGTATTAAATATCCGAAATTTATGATGAAATTCGATCGACCTAACTATGAATCAACCTCAATTCTTGAAAAATTGTACTTAAACGCAAAATCAATTGTAATCAAAAAGAAAGATAATTATGAAAACTACCAGACTACATTTATTCTACCATACAGAGATGCATTGATCAATACAGAAGCATCCAATATGGAATTAGAACATGGATTGTTTTCATTTCAAAAGATTCGGTTATTTTTAAGCAATCTATTTCGTATTACAACGCCGAGTGAATGAATCTAATGTATTTATTTTCTTGTTTTGTTCTATGACTTGGGAAACTTAACCTATTTAAATGAATGCTTCACCTCTCACACTACTTTTATCTTTTCATCATGATGATTTTTCAATAAAGTAACCACTGTATCGTATTCGTATGACTATCCATGCGTAAGTGAATGTTTAATTTTGTTGAAAGATATTATAGTTACTCTTGAGCTCGAATGTCAGACGAAACTGGAGTGCTCAGTGGTTGTAAGTGGAAATGGAAGTTTGAGTAGGTCTTCTTTTGACGAGCTGCCACATACAGACTTGCATGAGCACCTTCATCTTATCAATCACCAGTTCTATTTGGTGAAATATGTTTCACGTATTGTAGTGAAAATATTTCAACATAAATGGAACACTCGAAGGGTGTGGGTGTCCCTTCGTTTCCCACACGCTCTCCTATATACATGTAAATACTTCTTCAATTGGATTCCATCATTCGTGTTATGGCATATGTTCAATTCTCAAATCTTTCTTGTATTCTTCTTATGTAGAACATCGAATATCATTATGGATCGATATCTCAATGTGAGTATCTGAAAAAATAAGCGTGCTATACAAAGAGCTTGCTAATCTTTTCACGCTCATTTTTGAGAAAAAGTTGTATTCAAATTCTTGCTGTCTATCAGATTTTTCATCGAATGTTCATGCTACATTATTATGAATGTCTTCAGAAACTAAATGGCTACATTATTGACGATTCTCAACTTCAAAACTCTTAGTTTCCCGAACTCGAAACATCACTTTTCGGACTTTGGAATCGATACAAAGTTCATCTGAAGGAACATTCTCATATAACTGCTCGGCTTGATTTATAAATTAACACGACGTCACAGAAGAGAATTATGGGACTTTCAATTCTATGGTTGATAAGCAGTCATAGTTGAAAGCGAACCGATCGGCCCGCTGACTGACCGTTCAATCCGCTTAAAAAACATTCGGTCGATTCACAATGTGTCTAACTAGGATGGGTGTGAGATGCGGGTGTGTGAGTGACAACATTCTCTCGAATACACTCATACCCACAATCGACACCCGTAAAGAGGATTGTGGTTATGATGAAGAAGAATTTTCTTATGTTGTAAATAAGATATTTTGACAAGATGCTTTTGCATAAAATATTAAATGAACTTGCTACTGTCAATTATCCTGAATATATTCAACAAGGTAATATTGAATCTTTATTGACATTGTACTCAATGGAACACCATTTTATCATCGATTATCCATAGGAATAAATCCATTAGCATTTCCATTGTCTATGCATCTTTTATATTTAAAACAACGTTATTAGCAAGGACAATCTTATCGTGGTGTTGAAATGACTCGCGATGAATTATATGAATATCGTTGAGCATTGAGGAATAATGATAGTGTAATTTCAACAGCAAAATTTGCGTCTACATCCTCTGATCGATATATAGTTAAACAATTTGCTACTCAATCTCCATTGTCATTCGAAAAAATAAATGTTTTATTAATATTTCATTTCCTACAACCATGTGATATAGCAATTAACTTAGGTAAAATTTCTGACTATAAACTACCGTATATATCGAATTTGGAAAATCAACATGAAGTATTGGTTGCTCCACAAATATTTTTCAAAGTTAAATAGACTGAAATCATTTCATTAAACAAACAATATATTATTTATGTAGAAAATATATGTGGTGAATGGAGAAATATATTGCAAACAATGAAATTCCTTTAAAAAAAAGATCCGAAGAATCGACTTCGTCATTGACCTATGGCTACTACATTAACAAGACCAACTATTTCAGTAAAAGACATCGAAACATATGGGGTGTGGGTGCAGCTATGGCTGTGATGATAAAGGTGTGGAAGTGTTGGTAGCTATAGGTGAGAATTTGCATGTATGTAATCTGTAGCTTCACATTCACATCCACCCACCTGCTAAAATTTACCAATTTGAGGCGAGAGAGTTGAGCGTTTTTTTCAAAATTGGTGAGTAAAAATATAAATAAAACGTTGAAACTTCGACGAGAGAAAAATGAAAATTTCTCAAGATTAGGGAGCTTATTGCTGCTCAAGCGCCTTTTCGTGTAATAGTAACTATTTCAACCTTTCGTGGACGGTACCCGTATATATACGGTTTTGAAATGTCACTAAGGAAAAAAGAAGTGTGGGTGTTGGTTTCAATGAAGAGAAGATCCACGCCCACACTCACGCCCGAAAGAGATTAAACGTGTTTGACAGAAGATGTTGCGTTGATTACTAATTTTCTAAAGGAGCGCAAAGTGAGTTCCAGGAAAAAGTCAACAACATTTAAATAATGAAAATGGAAAGTTGCAACCAGAAAACGTCCATTTTCTAGTGTCAGCTGTTTTGGATACGTATTTAGAAACTCACGAACCATTAGCAAAGAAGCGCTACTCTTCGAATTCAGAAGCTTTATGGAGTTTAGCTCCAAATCAATACAACTTACGGTGTAGTTCAATTCTTAGAGATCGTGAACTTCCAGTCAGCGATAATGGTGTCATTTTCGTTTATCGCGTGTCGGGCAAGGATTACCAACAGATCTAGCTAACAATTTCTGCAGCAATGAAGTAAAATTCAGAAGTGAACTTCCTCGGTCCAAGTATCCAGTGGGTCAAACAGGCTTTGTACGTCTACGCAAAGAAAATAAATTAACGAGTGGTGAACTTGAGGATGTGAATGTTGTATGCTTTCAGACCCACACCCACACTCCACGCTTATCTTAATCAACCGACAATATATGATTTCAATTTAAATCATACAAATGATGTTCATCCACGTCAATGTTTAGAATTATGTACTAGCTATCAACAAAAATATGCTCTTCTTAATTCTAATAAATGTTTATGTACAAATATCCCAGTGAAAAAATGAAGAATATTATATTGTAAATTTACAGTTCTAGAGTATAGTTGTCATCAAGAATGTCCAGCGAATTAACTAGTTTTATACATGTGGCAATACAAGCAATTCATCAATATATTCGATGAATGTCATGCAATCACAATGTTCTCTTGGTGAAAGAACCAAAATCAAGACTTGTTCATTAAATAGAAAATAAGAAATTCGATCGTTTTTCTAGGTTTTATACTCAAAGAAGATGAGCGACGGTGTCAACATACTGATTTTTCAGTAGAAAAAATTCATTTTCAAATGCACAATCTTATTGTGAATTGATTAGGGGAATGCTTGCGAAAATAAATGATATTTTGGAAATTCAAGATTTTTTTGCGCAGAGCAATGATAATTAACAGTCTTATGTATGAAGCTTTAGATCGTGGTATTATAATTGCCCTTAATCATTCAAACTACTTTTAGATTGATCGTACATCCGATATAATAAATAACACTGTAACATTAGATCGTTCCTATTTGAAGATATTCACAAATATCACAATAAATTGCTGAAAATTCTATCGTTTTTCGTTACGAAAAGATTATAGTTGACAAGACAGGCACCTATGAATAGTGTTTTGCTGAATCAAATCAATGCTCACCCAAATGTGCTGTATCAGTTTGTGTAAATCAACATTTAGAATTAAATTCAACTGTTATTCCTCAGAGCAACAATGACGATTCATTAATTGTATCAGTTAATACATCAATACATTATTCATGTGCTGATGATAAAGAGTATCATCTTATCGATCAATATTGTTATAGAATATCTTTTCATCAAACAACTTGTCAAGATACAAAATCTCCATGTGAATATGAGAATGCTACGTTATTCGTATCAGAAAAAAGAACAATTAACAACACAACAAATCGGTTGTGCATATGTTGATTTTCATTCTAACGTGGAACTATTGATTTCATGTGATGATATATTTTGTAATCGGTTGAGAAGTGTAATACATAAAAAATCACCGATTCTAAAAATGGGCATCGTTACATACGAATGGTTAGTTATTGATACGCTACATGTACAGTATAATAAGATATTACTTTGAAAACTATAATATTTATTTAGAGAACTCTTGGATCTACACAGAAGAAAATTCATCCTACTTATATATCTATGCTAATTTGAAGTATATTTTGTAAGATCTTCGATATTGATGGAATCAATAAGAACTTCTATTTGCTTCTAAAAATTGGATCAGTAGAGATTTTGATTGATAATGTGTAATGTCTTTCTCAAAATGTGTTAAGTAATCAATTATGTTGATTGTTTTTATTTTATGCTTGATGATCATTTGTAAAGCGATTTCCATACTGGGATCCCATCGTAGTTCAATATATAACTTCACGAATAATTAAACTATGAATACTCAAAACGGTATAATTATGAAAGAACTCTATTGACATCGTTCTATTGTCTGTTATTCTATTTCATTGAAAATATCGAATTATTTTGTGGAATTTTCTGAAATATTTCGTATTTATTTCTATTGATTATATTAACTTTCCAGTGAATGATAAATCAAGTCTTACATTAACAATACCATCGATTAGTGATGCATGAAATTTTCAAATATTTATAAAATCTGTAGGCATATATTTTTCACTAATTTTCTTTATTGCATTTACATTTTTTCTTATACTTCTTAGATTTAAAAATATAACACAAAATCATCATTTACTACAAAAATTATTATACATTTTATACACGAAGATCTAATAATGATTCTGTTTATACTCAATTGTCAACTGGAAATAAATTTAATTTAAGCAAGAATTTTTTTCTTCATGACATTTCTATTGTATCCATAATCTTTATCTACAAAGAAAGTTTTTTTTCACTTTATATTTTCTTTGAATTTGTGAGCACATTATATAATTTGT